ATAGGAACATTTCCCTTTCAAGACATCCTGAACTTCCTAGTCCTTGGGAGGTTTAGGCTCAGTAATGCCCAGTGCCTGCAATGTCTCTGAAGGATTTTGAGTTCTAATCCTCAAACAGTAGCTTTACCTTTCTGTGCTCCCATTTCCACCTCTATTAAACGGAACAGAAATGAAGCAATGTGGCTGTGATAAGGCTTAATAAAGAACTGCACAAAAAAAAAAAAAAAAAAAAAAAAAAGAAAAAGAAAGAAAAATATCATGACTTCATCCAAGGAAGGAGCATTCCAGCCTGAATTTGCCTGACAGTCAGGGCCAGGCTCATGACGCAGCTCTCCAGCCTCAGGCAAAGGACCAAATTGGCTGGTCTGTAGTTTCCAGGGGAAATGAAGACAAAATTTTGGACCCCTGGAACTAACTTTAGACTGGGAGACTGTGTAACCTAAGCTGAAGGCCTTCAGTGGATCAGCCAGTACTGGAAATGAGCTCAGCCACGTACAGCAAACCTACATTCCTCCTGTGACAGCCTGTGCACAGTGTCCAGTTCATCTTTTTCCAGAACTGGTCTCTGATCACTCATGGTTCCTCCATTAATGGTTTTGCTTAGTGGGATTCTGCCCTCATCCTCCAGAGCTTAGTGGTTCAAAGTCTGGCTTGGCTATAAATAACAAAGACATTTGCAAAGCAAATCATCTTATTAAAAATGGGGAATTTTTATCCCTCTAACCACAACAAAACTCTTACCGTTGAAGAGCAACAGGACTTGGCTGTGAATTGGGAAGTTCAAAAAGGGCCACTTGCAGAGCCGACAGACAGACACCCTCCCTCTTCTCAGCAAGATCACCCCAAAGGAAAGGAATGGCTTCTCCATTAAAAGTTGCAGGTTTCGTCTCTTTCCACTCCTGTTCAAGATTACTCTATTTGCTGGCTCTGCTGGATCTCTGGGGAATTTTCTGCAGCATTATATTTATTAGACAGAATAAAACTGCATGGCAGAGAACTTCATCATATTTCTCTTTAATTTTCTTATGGTATTTTCTTACCACTCTTGGAGCCCTTGCTCTACCATGTTATTTCTTTTAGTAGTCAGGATATTTTTGTGCTCCTGTCTTCTCCTTTTGTGGGCTATTCCAGACATACTGCAATTCTAGACATCTTTGCTGCTGGTGGAAGGCTTGCTGCAGCAAGTCTGGATGAGTGCAATTGTGGGAATGGTAATGGGGCAGGAGGGGGCCTCTGTTTGTGGGAAAGATGTAATAAGAATCCTCTTCCACAACTTCTTACTCCATAGAAGCCCCCGTGGGGTACCCAGAGGAGAACAGGGTGTGTTCTTTAGTCCGGGAATGAAAACGAATCCCAGGATCTGTCTGTGCCCAGCAGCCTTGGGAAAGAGTCCCTGTTCTGTTAACTGTGCCTGAGCTGTGTGGCTTTTTCCATACACTGTAAAACCAAGCTCAAACAATGGCATAGGGCAAAAAAAAAAGAGTTTTATATATATATGTATACACGTATGGTTACTTGGTCTAAACAACTTCTGCATAGCTGGGAGGAAATGCAACAAAAGGCAGTTCCTGGGGGACTGTCCCTCAAAATCACCAACCCACACCAACAGCCAATTCTTGAGCACACTTGGCTGTGACAGGAGTAACAGGGTCAGGAATCAGCCACCTAAAGACCCATTAGTCCATTTTTATAATTCTCTGTTGTAAAGGCCCCAAGGGAAGCTTCAGGTCAATCACTTCTCCAAAAGCAGGAGTGCCACCAGCAAGAGGAAAGGAGAAATGGCATCTCCAGTGCCCTGTGATCAGGCTGCACTTGTCTGCCTGTGCTCTGCTCACCCCAGCTGGAGCATCCCTCCCAGAATAGGCCTGTCAGAGGCCTTAGCAAAATATCCAAATCCCCCCTGCTCAGTACAACTGACTCCAGCAAGAGAGACTAACAGGAGCTAAGGCACTCAACCAGCATAAACTGTGGCAAAAGAAAACTAATGTGCAAGGAGAGGCTGTTTGCAAACTTATAGCAGAAGCAGGAGGTGGGGAAAAGCCAGCTCAAGAGTGAGGAAAGCCATTATTGCTGAATTCCTCCTGCAGCTGACAACAGGTAGTGAGCAGCGTCTGCTTCCAAGTCTGTGGAAGACACAAGATTAGAAATCAAACTGCAAAACTACCCTGCACTGGTGTTTGCATTTCTGTGCTGGTGCAATATTGCTGACTGGCCCTCTTTGGCTCTGAATATGATGCTGTCAGTACTGAGAATATTTCTTAATCAGCACTGAAGGGTGGCTGCCAGGAAAGTAGAAGTGGCTGTCTCTCAGTCTTGCTTCTGCAGAAAGGGCGATTGTTTAAAGGGGGGGCTGTTTGACCTTTCCATTTTTCAAATCTGTATCTCTTCGCCAAGACTGTGTCATTCTTTGTAAGCGTTTTATTGTTCAAAACAAATCTTATACTGGGAACTTGCTTTTTTATCTCCCTTACTATGTTGCCAGTCGGCAGCCTCACACTAACAAGTGATGTAAGAGCCATCTCAAACTAATAACTAAGTATCTAAGGAAAAGCCAGCTGTAGACATGGGCAATGTCTGCAGTGAACTGAGCAAAGAGGTCACAGAAACAGCCCGACAATAACAAGAAAGTGCTCTCGAGCTTGTGCTTATCAGCAATCCCCCAACAGGTAAACAAGGCACGTGGGCAGATACTGCTGAGAGATACCACAACAACCAACCAACTTGGGATGCAAACTCCTCAAAAAAAGCCTTGACAGAACTATGACAGCCATGCAGAGAACCTGGCATTAAGATATCCAAGGATGAGAAACATTTTAAGTCAGGACATGCTTAAAATGTTTTAAAGCGCCTTGAGAACACTGGGGCAAGGATGAGAGGTGGGGATGGCTGACAAACAGGCAGCTTATGTATTCTGTATATTGCTGGGCACTGCACTCAAACATATCTTTCATGGCATTCCTGATGAGAAGCCAACATAAATACCACTCTGATTAATCAGGAAGCTACCCAGCAACAACACGAAAAGTTTGCACAAGACCAACAAGCACACAACCTACTCTGAAAGGTATCTGGGTGAGGAAAGGTGCTCTTTTCATCAATACAGAAAACCCCTAAGGCTCAGTGCTTGTGCAGATAATGAAGCCAAACATGTTTACACACCAGTGATCATTACATGCAGCGATTAGAGGAGATCTTAGGTTAATTTTCATCTCCACAAGCTAACAGACTGATGACCTGCTGCCCCATCTAACCTCTTCAGAGTGACAAGTCAGGTGCTTTCCCAAGACAACTGTCTTGTTCCTGGGGGAAACAAAAACTTTCCCATCATCTATATGATTAAAAAGGTCAATGAACCCCATGCACTCAAACTGGTGTAATAGAACCAGCTGAGCTAAAGCAAAAATTCTTTTTGCTGGAAGTAAATAGCACACTGTTATCTCCCCAGGGGCCAGGCAATAACAGGAGGCATGTTCCCATTCACTCTGCCAGTGTGTGATATGCCACTGCTCTGCCTATAAATACAACAGCTTTTTTTGCCTTTTTTTTTTTTCCCCAAACAAGGCTGTGACAACTTCATCTCATCTGGGTACAACAAACACGCCTGAGTTGTGTCTACACAGCAGGGTTTTGTGTTGTGTGTGTGCGTGGTGGTTTTTCCACCACAGGACCATATGTTACCTACTGTGTGGTGTGGCTGAGTTCCTTCCAGTGCTTCAGAGAAAATCAGGGCAGCTCTGGAGCAGCTGCAGGGGACAGAATGCCTGGGGACATGCCCAAAAAGCAGCACCTGAACTGGAGCCACTGGCCTTTGGTTTGCACAGGGAACATGAATGAGGAGGAAGTTGTGAAGGCACAAGCAAGGGTCCAGAGGAAAGTTCCTTTTACAGCGTGAAATAACAAATGAAACAATGACAAAAAGTCAATACTGGGCTCGGGATTCTGTCTTGATTCTCTGCCAGCTAACCACGCTTTGTGCATTTAGAACTGACCTGGTCATTAATTTGTTACAGACTTGTGCAATGTGAGCAAGGCCAAGTCTCTTGCATAAAGATGTTTTCTCTTGCAAGCCAACTGGAAATGCTTAACATTTGCTATTCACAGAGAGATCTGCTTGTCATATCTGTGACACGGCACTCCTCTCTGCACTGCCCACTCAGGACACCTCTTGGATAATTAGATTCTTAGAAAAACTTTTCTGCATCCAACCAGAAGTCAGCCAAAGTTGATTAGTGTGATAAATTCTCTATCTCTAATAAGAGAGAGCAGTGGGGGCTGAAGGAGGAATATACAAAGCAGCTCTTATATATGAAGAGCCTTTCCTTCTAAAAATCATCAACAAGCAATGCAGACTTTCCCAAATCAGGTTGCATCTGAACTGCTGCATCTGCATCATGTACAGCTCTGTTTTCCAGGCATCTATCTAATGTTTTTTTGAACTCATTTGGATCTAATTCTCTCAAAGAGACAAAAGGTAAAGTTATGGTAACTGGAGCTATTTATGTTACAAAGGAGACATAGGAGAAGGGGGTTAAAGCTAATGAATGGCTTTGGGAATGGACAGGACCTTTCTCAGAATAGAACAATAGGGTGCTTTTATGGAACTGGGAGGCAGAAAACACAAAACTATTAAAAAAGAAAGAACACTCTTTTGTATTATTCGGCATTAGCCTTCAGAACTCATTGCCACAAGCTCATTCCCTGTGCTTGCTGTGAAGAGCCCGTCTATCTCTGAGGTGATGATGGTTGGGAGAGGTGACTCCTGCACAGCTCATTGAATCAACCCAGCCACAACTTCAGCCAGTTCCAGTTGGGTGACTGGGACTGAATTTCAACTCATCACTACTAATCAGGCTCAGAAAGAGAGAAGTTGCTGCCAGGGGCCATCCTTGGTGAAGCAGGCAGGGGTAACAGCACCCCTGAACGTTGACCACTGAGCTCCACCTGAGAGCATTTCTCCTTGCTGGATTTGCAGGAGAGGAAGAGGAACATGCTGTCCTTACCTGGGTTGCAGCTGGCTGACCAATGACCACCCACCCTGGGCACTGCTGGTCACTGTGGTGTGAGACAGAGACGTTGGAAGCCCACTGATCCAGGAAGCCTTTGGGAGTGTAAACGCCACAGTCTTTGATGCTGGTCATTTGCTCAAATTCCTCACAGACTCCATCGCCGTCGTGGAAATAGCACCTGCTGGGCTCATCTGTCAGGGGAAACAGAGAAAACAAACTACATGTGTCTGCAGGGTAGTTCCTAGGACCTGATACCATCAGTGGTCGTGTATCTGCTGTGTCAGGTCACTGGGAGGTGGAAGCATTGGTCACTTCTAGGTCATACCAAGGTGATTTAAATAAAGCCAAGCAACAATAGCCAACTTTTGTATTGGGCAATTCCCTGAAGATATTTCCTAATGTTTGGGGGGTTCTGCTTATTTTCATCTATCTCCTTTTAAAAGATATAGAAGAAAGCAGAGATAGAAAATACATAGAGAGGCAAATGTGGGTGTTGGCATAATTCCACCAGCTGGAATGGAAAAATGCCAGCAGAGGGTTTGGTCTAAAATGTTTCCCTTTTTGTTTTTAAAAGATATCTGCAAATCAACAACAACAGCAACTGCGGCTGTAGAGATGGTGAAAACTTCCAAGTTCACAGTTGTAGTGACCAAAGGGCCAAACAGATCTGTTTATCCAAGGCAGATACAGTACACACAGTGTGAGGGTGAGTTTGCCTCATAAACACACGACTTCAACCAACATGACTCAGATTTGACCTGAAAGGATCAAAAGCAGCAGGAGACTTTATTATCCTTGCCCATTTATTCTGTGGCTTCTCTAATGAGACTGCCAACAAAGATGCCAAATTTTTGAGGTTGTTTCTGTAACACTGGCCCATTAAAAACTGAACTGAGATCCATCTACTCTTTTCAAACAGACTGCATAGCAATAATGACTTTCAGTCATTAGAGTACTCTGTGAAATGGAAACCTTTGACCTGTTGGTATCCTATTTTGTATTGTATTATCATTGCCAGTCCCCAGAGGTATCCAGTTCTGACAGCCTGTTGTATTTTTGTCTGGCAAATAAGCCTGTTGAAAAAATGGTAGGAAATTAGCCAGAGCTGCTAGCTGGACTGATGGAAAGGATCCCTAAGGAAAATCCTGTCGGTAGCATTGGACTATCATGAGCTAGGTGTCAGAAAATCCAAGGGCTGCTCAGTTTTGAGCTACTTCCAATCTACTAAATCCCCTGTTTATTTTTTCTCCTGGTTTACACAGTGAAATACCATCATGAGCCAGAAAACATCAGTTTATTGCTATTCAATTATTTAATGACTTTCACTCCTTTTCCTCCTGTGCAAGATTCCAGGTCTTTGAGAGGGTGGCTTTGAAAGAATAGTCTATCAGGGAAAAATGGCATTATGATCTGATTTCATCACAGCCTCTGCGGACAACTTGTGTACATGGATAAATGTAGGGAACTGTGCATTTGACAGGCCAGAGCTCCAAGCTGGTGAAAAGAAGCACAAGTCTGGAAGTGTTTCAGCTGTATGAGTGCAGTCCTGAATGAATATTCCCAGGGTGGCCAAATTTCTCGACCTTACATGTCACATCTTAACATCTTAATTTGTCTGGGAGTCACCAAACATGTATCCCATCCCTCAAAGAGCTCAGAGGAGGGCTTGGGGGAGTGTTTCCCAGACAAGAGATGACAATGGCTCCTGGGGTGTCTGGGTGGATGTGCTGATGGGCCCTAAGGCAACCCAGCAGTGCCACCCCCATGGGGCTCATTCGTCCCTGGGAGAGCCATGCCCTGTGTCTGGCCAGCTCAAGGAACGGGTGGAATGAGAATGTCACTGTGATAGCCATGGAGACAAACTCTTGGTTCCCTCACCTTATTCTTTTGCATCTTGTGTTCTGCTCCTCTCCCACATCCAGGCATAAGTCAGGTGTCAGGACAATAGGATACAATTAATTAGCTTACCCACTATGTCCCAGTTTGAGTGAGAGGCCCAACAGAAATCTCTGAAAAATGTTCAGCCCTAAAAAGACTGAGATCAGCAATCAAAATTCCTCAGAACCAAATGCCAAACAGATGCAAATATGTATTTTTTGAAAAAAGCACTTTGTCATTTTATGAAAAGAGGCTTATTTCTGTAAAAGAGGGGGGGATGAAAGGAAAATACCTATCCTGTTAAAAAGACCTGACCTTCAGCCTATAAACATATGCACAGTCAGATATGCACACATACAGTGAAACATCACCACCCTGCTGCACACCCACGCTGACAGAAACACTGACACACAAACGCACGGGCGCTCCCTTTACACATCCCCGACTCAGCCACCCCCCATGAAACACATACCCACAAACTCACAGCCTAATTTTAGGCACATGCATTTAGACAGTGTTTCCCGGCCTTCCCAAAGCACTGACTTCTTTTCACGACAGGCACTGAAGTAAGCACAGCATTTATAGAGCAACACACTCCTGCACTGGCTCCAAATGCTCCCTCCTAATACGATGATAAACGTAATGGGCTTCTGATAAGATCATGTGTTTGGGATAAAAGAATACTCAGGGCCTACTTCAGCCTGATGACTTAATTCATACTCACGTGGAGGGGAAAGCAGCCCTTGAATATCTGTGATCCAGGACAGTGTGTGATCCTAACAGAGGCTAATTTGTTCCTGATTATGCCTAAGACCCCAATAAATCTGTCTGCTCAGAGTCTGCAAAACCCGAGGGAGGAACCAAACAGAGAGCCTGAGATGTCTGATTTAAATGGGGGCTGCCTAAATGATTAACCAAGTCCTGCTGAACTGCAGAACTGCTCACTGTCATGAGCTCTGGAGCTCTGCTGGCCCTGGAGTGCCACTGCATCCATGGGACAGCACCATGCACAGAAGCTGAGAGACGAGGCACCTACTTGCCTTTGTGTGCTCTGAAAAATGATGAGGGAAGCTGGTTTTACAACCCTGGTTACTTCTAGGGAAGATCTGCTGCTCTCACTATTGACTCATCACACAGTGTGCAGAACTCTGCACTGAGGGGAGTGCCGGTGAGAACAGGGGAAGGCCTTTCCTGCCAGTGGGCTTCCCAATTCTGAGTGATGGCAAACAGGGGATTGTCATTAAATCCTTCTCAGACACGAGGGCACCAACCTTCAACAGCCAAATGTGGTGCATCACTGTGTGGGCTGCCAGAAACTAGCAGAGGTTCTTCCTTCAGGTGTTGAGCACCAGCTCTGACTGCAGATTCTTCCAGTGGTCTTGGATGATGGGCAGGTTACATGTTGAGCTTTACATTTTCATAAGCAAAGCAAAGAACAACCAGATTGTTTCTTCCTACAACTGCCCTCACAAAATAAAAACTAACAGGCTTTTTCCCTTTCTTCAGTGATAGGAACAGAGCTCAGTAATATTCATAGAGTCCTCCAGGCTCGGAGCCAGAGAGGACAGTGTCAGGAGTGGTGTATTTCTAGGAATAAGTAGCTAATGGCTTTATTCTTATAATGATGCAAAATGCTTTTTCTGTTTTCTTCTTGACTACTGTGACACCAAATGCATCCATGGCCTTGGCAACATGAGCTAATTTTTATCTCCACAGAGGTCCAGAGGCTTCCAAGACCTGGTGATGGTTGGGGATTGATCACGCATGACCTGCACCATGGACTGTGTTCAACACTATGGACTTTGCTCTCCTAAGATGAATCTGATTGAAGGAGATATGGACGAAAGGAACACAAAGGATATCTGATTTGTCCTCAAGGAATAAATTACTTCAAAAAATTAAAAAGCAGTTGCCTGGAAATCCAGCTGAAATCTAGAACAGTAAAATGTCTGCAGGCATAGCACCTGGCCGCAGGAGAGAGCATCTCTGGGGGATTAACAACAGATGATGGAGGATGCTGAGCTGAACTCAGGGAACACATTTTCATTTAGGCAGTCCAAGCTCCTTTTCCCTTAGAAAATTCTTACTGAAGGCAGAAAAACATTAGGGCTAAACCAAAGCTCCTGTCTTGTCCTTGTTTTGGGAAAAGAGGGATTAACAACAGATGATGGAGGATGCTGAGCTGAACTCGGGGACACATTTTCATTTAGGCAGCCCAAGCTCCTTTTCCCTTAGAAAATTCTCACTGAAGGCAGAAAAACATTAGGGCGAAACCAAAGCTCCTGTCTTGCCCTTGTTTTGGGAAAAGGCAGTCTCCAGCTCAGCAAAGATTTCTGTGACATCGGGGAAACCTTGAAGGAGGTTCTGTGGCAGCATCAACCTGGAGAAGTGTGACTTGAGGAAACAAATTAGCAAGACCTGTTTTGCTAACTCCTGAAGTCAGGCCTTAAGATCCAAAATAGTCTTGGGGCTCTTGTGTGTTGCACCAGAAAATTATGCAAACTCCATCTCTCCTTGCTTCCTAAACTGCCTGAGCACAGTGCAAGAGGCAGTTTTTTGTACCAAAATACAGATCCCTCCTCTGCAGTGCAGAAATGAAAGGATGCCTGAGATAACACAGGTGATTTAGTGAGCACTGGGAAGCATGTACCAGAGCAGGTCTGGATAAGCAGGTAGCTTCCCATCTCCTTTACCAGTTTGAGGAGAAGCTGGGAAATCATCAGCAAAATGAGTGAAGACTTATAGAGGCCAGCAAGCAGACAGGCAGGATATACACTTATCTGTGATAGGCAGCCTTCCACCTCATGAAATAAAGAAAAAAGAGAGATAAAAAGATCCAATTCATAGTACAGGGCACATCCTCAAACAAGGCTTTGAATGTCCAAGCAGGGTCATCAAAGTGCTGGGGACAGACACTGGGGGCAGTTTCCTGTTTTCAGTCAGGACGCAGTGATTGGCATCGGCATAGTCTTCTTTTGTGCAGTAACTACCATTTTTTTAAAAGGCCAGACAAAAAAAGAGAAGTATTTTTAAGCTCAGCTGTTTACTTAGGGATGTTTCCAACTATAACAAGCCTCATGCCACATAACTATTTGTCCAGAAAAAAAAAAAAGAAAAAAAAAGGGGGGGGACAAAAATGCAGAAGCATTGTCTCAGAGTAACAAATTCTTGGAATGGAACAAGATTTGCATTTTAACCTCTGAAAGGTCTCTCCAGAGGTGTGCAGTCTTTCAGACACAGCAAAGGCCAAACCTCAGGCTCACTAAAGTCAGCAGCTTCTGCAGAAGCAGGGTTTTACCACCACGTCACTTAA